TGTAGCCATGCGGGTGATTATGGGTGCAGCTCGTTGTGCCCATGTAACACCTCTCCTACGTGAGCTGCACTGGCTCCCGGTGGTCTTCCGGGTGCGATTCAAGGTGTTAGTTATCACCTTTAAAGCACTCCATGGCTTAGGACCTGGGACCTCACAGGGAGGGACTACTCAGGGTACCATCAGTCAAATTATGCCGACTGGCGACTCCCAGGGGGAGGGCCTTCTCTGTGGGGGCTCCAACCCTTTGGAATGAACTGCCCCCGGAGATACGGAATATCCCTGACCTCCGTGCTTTCCGCCGTGCCCTCAAAACCCTGATGTTCCAACAAGCAGGGCTAAACATATGAACATGTGAATGTTTTTAAAATGTTATCTAATTTTAGGTTTTATTTAATTGGGCCAAACTATGTTATAATAATACTTTTAATTAGCAATTTTATGATGTTTGCGTATCTATATTTTTCTTGACTGTACACCGCCTTGAGTCCTATGGGAGAAAGGTGGTATAGAAATATAATAAATAAATAAATAAATATTCCAGTTTTCTTTCTCCAATCTGTCATACTTTCTTTCTTTCTTTTTTCTTTTCAGTTCCAATATCAATAAAGTTATAAAGACTAAAGAATTTAGTTCTTTTGTATTCCATATACGGTATCATCATGTCTTCTTGTGGGGCTCCGCCCTTCCCTTATGGTAGAACACCATTAATCAGCGATTTTAATTGTTCCAACTAATTTCTTCTTTCCAACTATCCATAAGTAGTCCAAAGACAGTTTAAGTACATCTAAAATCAAGCCTCCTTAATTTTTCCTCAAAATAATCCAATTCTGAAAGGAAGAGACAAAGTTTCTTCTTTAAACAGCAAACTTTCCACAGTTGCAGTTTGCACTTTCACTCTCTCAGCCATTTTAACTTCCTCCGCTTGTTATTCTCATAGCTTTAAAAAAAACATTCTGCTTGTTTCCTCTTCTCCTTCTTCCCCTTCCAAGCTAATCCATTCTCATTAAAGACCAAGAAAATATCAAATTTTAAATCCATCCAAAGGGATGTTAAATTCCAAAAGCAGTCAATTGGTGCTATTGTCCTTTAATGGGTCTTTTCCTTGTTAATTGTTTAAATTCTTTGCCCAAATAGTTCTTAGCTGCTGTTAGAGCCAGGGCATTATTAGTATTTAAATGTTTGAAGACTGTTCTCGCCTGGGCTAATCCTATTCACCCGGCATTCAAACATCTTGCTCCTGTGTCTCCTCCTGCACTTTGCTTGTCCCGGCTGCCGAAGCTTTGGGGCAGCCACCATGGCTGCCTCTCCCACCACCGCTGGCGCAGAGGGCAATCCTCCAGCCCCGAGGAACCTGCCCGTTCCTCTCGGCCATCCAAGGGGTCCCTCTCTAATCCCCTGTCCCTCTAGGACAGGGTAGGCCTGTAGACCTGCCAGCGGTGGCTTAAAAGACGGGGTTTTCACGGGGCTCCAAAGAGTCCCGCTATTTTCCCGTCAGCTCGCCGCAGCGCCAACCGGAAGTGTCCCCGATTCTTGAAGTCGCCTTCCTCCTGGCAATTACATCGGCCAGGAGAATCTCTGAACTGGTGGCCCTGTCCATTAGAAAGGACCTCTGTTTTTTCCATTCAAACAGAGTTGTACTGCAATTGGATCCCTCCTTTCTGCCCAAGGTGAACTCTTGGTTTCACCATGCCCAAGAGCTCATTCTCCCGAATTTCTGTCCAGCTCCTCACCATCCGCTGGAAGAACAATGACACACCTTGGATGTGAGGAGGGCCCTCTGCAAGTACATTAAGATGATGTCTTCATTTTGACATACAGAAGCCCTTTTTGTATCCTTTCACCCTTCGTCAATGGGCAGGAAAGTTTCTTCTTCTACGGTGGGCAGATGGCATGTATTTCAAAGGCATATGAACTCAAGGCTAAACCTATGCCTGGATGGATTTTGCCACATTCTACTCGCAGCGCTGCAACCTCTGCTGCATGGGCTACCCAGGCTTCCATCAGCAACATTTATAGGGCGGGCATTTGGTCGTTGTTATCACCATTCATAAGACACTACAAAATAGACAGGTGTGCCTCGGCTGAGGCGTCCTTTGGCCGATGGGTGTTGCAGAGTGTACACTCCACCCAGGACCTAGGAATCAGCCAACCTCCCGCCCAGGGTCCTTCAGCTTGGGTATGTCCCATGCATGGATTATCCGAACAGTGCTCTGGAAAATGGGTGTTGTCTTACCTGAACGTCCATTTTCGGGACACTGTGAAGATAATCCACCCCACCCTTTAGGCATCCTGATCTTGGCCAAGGTAGGTTTTCTTTGTCTCCTTTCTGCAGATTCTCTGGTGGACCGCTCCTTCGTGGAAAAAGACTAAAGTTCAACGAGCAAGGAGGCGTGGCTAAACACTTTGAAAAAAATCTAAACTCAGTCTCTGGCAAATAGACAAGTGATGACCCATGCATGGATTATCCACACAGCACCCCGAAAATGGACATTCAGGTAAGACAATGTCCGTTTTGCTATATTGTTATCAAAGAATGACTTCATATACTGTATTTTTCGGAGTATAAGATACACTTTCCCCCTCCCCTAAAAGAAGGTGAAAATTTGGGGGCATCTTATACACCGAATGTAGCACCGTCCACCCGCCAGCCCCCACCCTTCGGCCTCTCAAAAAGCTTTTGGAGCTTTTGGAGGCTGCAAATGCAGCCTCCCAACAGAGAGCCTCTCAAGCAGCCTCCAAAAGCTCCGTTTGCAAAGGAACTTGTTAAGGATATTATTGGGTTACCAACCAGCAGAGTAAGTGCACAGAGAAACGGTACTGAGAGCAATGAATACAATACATACAAACTGGTTTAACAAAGCTTTTACTTTGTAGTGAAAAACAATTGCATAGTCTTTTAGTCAATCCAAGTCTTTAGCCATTCAAATCAGTCCGGAGTTACAGATATCTTCTTACCATACAAAAAGCAGTAGGTAATAAACAGCAATTCAATGCTGGTAACAAATCATGATGGTAGCAGATCCACCCACTTCTTCACACACAACGGTAACAGTTCCAACTGACAAGTCAAGCAGCAAGTCAAGAAACAATGATTATAGCTCGGCTCTCTCCTTATATACAGTTTACACTAGTAATTATCCACTTAAGATAAGTGGAGTCAGCAGTGCAATAACTCAACAGTACAATTAGGATAATTGCAGTCAGCAGTCAGCCAGCAGTCAATTACAATGACTCATCAGTACAATTACTCAGCATTACATCTTAAAGTTACAGAATACATTTAAAGTTATAGCACACATATATTGCCTGGACAACTTGTTAGGCTTACACCATATCCTAACAGAACTTCTCTTTGCAAAGGCAGCCTCTCAGACCGAGCTTTCGGAGGGTGAAAAAGCAAGGCACAGAGGCCAACATGGCAACCCAGAACAGCTGCTGCCTTGCTGAACTGGTTCTGTGCTTCCCCTGCTGTACACACTGGAGCACTCTGCAACAATTAGCTGCATTTTTGAAGCTGCATATCTGCTCCAACGAGGCTCGTGCGTGCTCACAACTAGTTAGTTAGTTAGTTAGTTTATTATATTTATATACCGCCCCCTCTCCCGAGGGACTCGGGGCGGTGAACAGCCAGCAAATAAAATACACAGATACAAAATTTAAAACAATATTAAAATCCAATTAAATCAATTTGGCCCATAGTTAAAAACCCTATATTAAAACCCCTAATTTTTAAAACGATTCTTTTTAAAAAGAATAGGTCAGGCCAGCCCGGCTTGATGAAACAAAAACGTCTTTAGGGCAGTTTGGAAAGCACGAAGGTCAGGGATCCGCCGTATCTCTGGGGGCAACTCGTTCCAGAGGGTAGGTGCCCCCATAGAGAATGCTCTCCCCCTGGGGGCCACCAGCCGGCATTGTCTAGCTGACGGCACCTTGAGGAGGCCCTCTCTGTGGGAGCGTACTGGTCGGTGGGAGGCTACCGGTGGCAGAAGACAGTCTTGTAAGTACCCGGGTCCTAAGCCATGGAGCGCTCTAAAGGTGGTAACCAATACCTTGAAGCGCACCCGGAAGACCACCAGGAGCCAGTGCAGCTCGCGCAGGAGAGGTGTTACATGGGAGCGCCGAGTCGCCCCCATAACCACCCACATCGTCGGATTCTGGACCAGTTGGAGCCTCTGGGTGCTCTTCAAGGGTAGCCCATGTAGAGAGCATTACAGTAGTCCAGGTGGGACGTGACGAGGGCATGAGTGACTGTGCGTAAGGCATCCCGATCCAGAAAGGGCCGCAACTGGTGAATCAGGCAAACCTGATAGAAGGCCCCCCTGGCCACAGCTGTCATATGTTCTTCTAAGGACAGCCGTGAATCCAGGAGGATGCCCAAGTTGCGAGCCCTCTCTGTGGGGGCCAGCGATTCGCCCCCAAAAGTCAATGCTGGTACCAACTGACTATATCGGGATGCCGGAAGCCACAGCCACTTGGTCTTGGACGGGTTGAGCCTGAGCCTGTTTCTCCCCATCCAGTGAACCTGTTGCTAAAGTTCACCTCTGGGAACAGCTGATTGGGGTTATTCCGGGAGGCAATCCACCCGCCAATCAGCTGCTCGTGCTGAATTAGGCTAATGTGCTGAAGCTGACCTTGCTCTTTGCTGCAAGGCTGCTAGCTAGATGAATACCAATGGATGCTAGTAGGTAGAGGCAGATTTTTTTTCTTATTTTCCTCCCCCCAAAATAAGGTGCGTCTTATACTCCAAAAAATATGGTATTTCAGATTTGCCATCAGAATTTCTGCGTTCAAATTTTGATACCTCTTTTATGTAAAAGGTAAATACTGTATTAGAATTGTATTTGGAGTTCCTGCATTTTACATGTTATATTCCATATGTTTATATTTGCTTATTTTTATGACAGATGAAACAGCCATAATATAGAATCATACTAATTAGTAATTCAAGATAATTACAGCATTCACTCCTCTTTTTCTGTTTGACATTGCTTCTTTTCTAGGTTGCACAACTTTATACAAAATAAATAAAAATATTCCAGCAATCTTAAAGAACAGAAAGTTGAGCTTGTAATACTCTAGAGTGAGTTTCATGGTCCATCTTTGAATAAGAATGGATATTCACAGCATCTCTGGAAAACAAATACATTTGGTTCTTTTCTTATGCCAAATTATTACTGCATTGGATGTACCTCTTGATTGTAAGTACTAACAATTCACTATTTATGGAAAGATGCTGATTGAACAGATTGTTGTAAACAAATATCTTGATAACCTAGAATAAATCTATATAACAATATAGCATTGCAAAGAATGTGTGTGTACATACTCAAACACACATTTTCATTCCCCTTAGTTGCAGGAAATTCTTGTTCATTATAAAAGTTTATTTTTCCTTTTTACCCCAAATGTTCCATTAATAAATTACCTTGTTAACATTTGCTATCTCAGCATGTAGAATATATCCAAAATAAACAATTAGCATTTTGATTACCTTAGCACTCATAACCTAGGGTCATGGAAGGCCCCCATTTTTAGTGACTTAACAGTGAAAATTTATTTATTTATTTAGCGTATGATTGGTCACACACAGTATTAAAACACTTCATTTTTACAGGTTAAAAACAATTAAAACAATAAAAAAGCAGTAAAAAACAGTGAAAAGAAGTATATTTAACAGAGTACAATTGAAAATATTTGAAAGGCAATAATTACTGAGATTAGAAAAAAAGGCTATATTCTAAAAATAATCAACAATACACACCAACTAGAACAAGAACAGAAATAGAGCCATTAAAATCTACTCTGGTTTTACATGCAGTTCATATAATTATCTAAAGTACTTATAACCCACTGTTTATAGTATTTAGAATCCACTGTTCTATTTCAAAGGCTATCAGAAGAGAGTAGTAAAACGTACAATTTTGGCTGAAGTTTATATTTTTATCACTTAGCAAGAATTTATTTTTTAAGCCTATGACTTAAATATAGAATTATAATTTCCAGTGTAACATGAACTAATGGTTCTCGCTAAAATATTAATGAGGAATTCCTGTATTCAAACAGATGGTAATGAAATGGCACAATTAACAACAGGGCATTCCATCTCTGTTACTTATTCTTCCATTTAGTTCTGTATATTGATTGCTTTTTGTTTGCAGTGGACAAATTATGCCATCCACTAATTCCATTTCCATAATAGCCAAGGGTATATGTAACAATGCTAATTATTCCATATAAGTTAGGAATAATATTTATAATTGACAATGCAACATTAAACAAAAGTTCCAAATGCTTTGTGCGAAAACTATGTGATTCTTCGCTGATAAAGTGACTTTGGTATCTGTTGTCAGAAAAGATCTATAGTATGAATGCCTGTACTTTCCCTGTATCTTTTCTTTCTAGAATTTCATTACTTCTATCTTACTAACAAATAATTTTCTTTAATTCATGTTTACAATTCACTTCCTGAATCTGATACATGGAAAAAAGCAAAACTTCTTGAAGAATGTAAGTTCTGCCCATAAGCCTACACCTACACCAAAAATTCTGTGTGACTTAATACAATTTTTAAGTGCTGAAACAATTTTATTGTGTTTTTTAATATTCTGTACAGATGATAGTTTATAGAAACTATACACAAGAAAAAAATTGGCATGAATTTAAATATTGGTCAAATATTTATTTTTAATATTTAAAAGATACCATGTTTTCCCGAAAATACAACCTACCCTGAAAACAAGCCCTAGCCCGATTTTTACATCTGCACCTAAAATAAGCCCTCCCCCCCCAAAATAAGGCCTAGTTAAGTCCTACTGACCATTTGGTTGTACAAGGTGGGGCAAGGCACAGTTGTAAAAACCAAGCTAGGGTCAGGGTGGGGGGGATGTAGGATGAAAGGAGGTGGTGGCAGCATGGTAGCTTCTGGTGCTAATATGGCTGCCACATGCACTCCGCGTCGGCTTATCTGAGGGCCCCGCAGCCGGGCCATCAATGTCCTGACAACTACCTGGTCTCATGGCGATGGCTCCATCTAGGATCCCACATGGCCGCCGGCCCGCTTCTCCTTGCTCACATCCGCAATGGAGCAGGAGGCTGAGTGACACATATGAGGAGGAGGAGCGGGGAGAAGAGAGAGAGAGAGAGAGAGAGAGAGAGAGAGAGAATGGTGACTGGTATAAACTGTTACCTTAGTTAAATTGTCTTAAATTTTATATGTAGAAAAAATAGTTTTACATGCATTAGAATGCAGTTCTACAGTCATATAATCAGTGGTGGATTTCAAAAATTTTTTTACTATCAGTTCTGTGGGTGTGGCTTGGTGGGCATGGCATGGCTTGGTGGGTGTGGCTTGGTGGGCATGGCAGGGGAAGGATACTGTAAAATCTCCATTCCCATCCCACTCCAGGGGAAGGATACTGTAAAAGCTCCATTCCTCCCTACTCCAGGGGAAGGTTACTGCAAAATCCCCATTTCCTCCTGATCAGCTGGGACTTGGGAGGCAGAGAATAGATGGGAGCAGGATTAGTCAGAATTTTTACTACCGGTTCTCAGAACTATTCAAAATTTCCGCTACCAGTTCTCCAGAACTAGTCAAAACCTGCTGAAACCCCCCTCTGCATGTAATGATTATGTTCTTTTGAGAAGAGCTTCCCTTGTGGGTTTAAGTATGATTTCAATATATTAAATGTTTGTAATTAACTTTACTATTATTTAACCAGTTTAGAGATATAGTTAATTCGTAGGATTAAGATTGAGGGGATTCAGGTTCAAGCCCATCTTTAGCTTCCTAGGTAACTTTGGCCTAGTCACTTTCTCTCAACCAACTCACATCACAGGGTTGTTCTTGTGGATATAGCTAGGGAAGGAAGTATTCTGTTTGCCACCTTGAGCTCTTGAAGGGAAAGAGGAATTTAAAACCAGTGAATAAAAATGTATTTTTCCATTTTCTTTTTGATCACTTTCTCTAAAAAGTGTCACAGCCTCCAACAATAACACAGCAGTCTCCAAAAGATTATATTGTTGACCCAAGAGAGAATATTGTAATACAGTGTGAAGCAAAAGGAAAACCATCTCCTACGTAAGTCCTAGATTTGTATTCATTCATTGGTTTGTATAATATATCATACAGCCAAAGAAAAACATTATTGTTAAGTGATTATTGGATTGATTGTCTTGTATACATAAGTTTATTGTTTTTTTTATAATGCAATCTTACATATGCCTGAAAAAGGTAGGTTTGGATAATCAGGTTTTCCCTCATTCCCATAACTGCAGCCTTAATATCTAAATTTTATGAAGGTGATCCAATAATTTACAGACAAAAGGTTAGTTTGATTCCAGATCAAAACACATCATGTAAATACTTAACTGGTGTTTTTAAATGGTTCTTTCAGAAGCTTGTCTCTGAAATTATTTCATTTTGATATTACTTCCTTTAAAAATATTTCCTACATTTCACTTTGCCTATGCCACAAAGAGCTATTAGACTCTCTCCTTTGCTGTCATCTTCTGCTGTGCTTTCAAGAGGGGTGGGCAGGGGAAAGGAAAGGAACAATAACATTGTTGGAATACTATGGAAAATGTGTGTGTGTGTGTGCATGTGCGCATGTGCATGCATCAGTGTGTGTGTGTGTGTGTGTGTGTGTGTGTGTGTGTGTGTGTGTGTACAAGAACTCGCTTTATATGTTCAATGCCTAGCTCCCGTCAGATTCAGAAGTACTATGCAATGTTCAGGGTACTTGTTTCTTAATGATTTGTATTTTAAATAATTAACCTTCGTAACCAGAACCGTTGCTAAGAAGCTCCTTATTTATACCCAGATCTAAGTGGCCAAAGTAGTTGTGGTCTAACTAAATATATTAATGGGATATTGTATCTGCTGAATTCTTATATTCCATTTTCAGAAGGGGAGGGGATGGTTGAACTTATCATTTGATTCAATAGGTTGGACTAAGCTTGATCAAATTTGGTGGTATCACTATATGTATCATCCTGCTCTGATTGAATGTGCTGTTAACTCATCTAAAATTTATCTCTGCTCAATCATATCTGGGATTCCAGCATTGAGAACATGCTTTTTTAAGTTGTGCTATAATTTAGAGCAAATAAGCATAAACTCAAGTACATCTTAATGATTTGGCTGCTGTATATGGAGAAAGCAGTTAATCAGGTCATACTGTATACTGTCCTATATATCAAAATAATTACACAACATGAGCAGTATTTTTAATTTTACTTTGTTAAAAATATAGTGTGCAAAAAAAAAAAATTCAAAGGTTTTCCATTTCACAATCTATAAATAGCAGACAGTAAGGAGTGATTCTACTTACTTTAAAAATAAAGGAGTTAAGAAAATATAACTTCCTAATTAGAGTGGATACATTACAAATGTCAATGGAGAAGACAAAGAAGTTCTGAAAGGAACATATGAATTCCAGGAAAAAAGATTGATACCTTAGTAAAAAATCACAAAGTTTCTGAAGAGGCAAACTATTGTAATAATAATAAGAATATAACACATTTCTTAAGAATTTTTACTCTAACTATTTCTGATATATATGAACCAGTTTATAAGCCTTCAATATATGGAAATCTGTGCATGGCCCATAATTGACTTTTTTGTTACTGGAGAAAATTAAAAGAAAATTAAAAAGGATTTAATAAAAAATTAAAATAGAGATAAGTGTTTTAAGAAAATTTGCTTGTCACATTTTTAACTGGCTCTCCAAATACTACTATTACTACTACTACTACTACTACTACTACTACTACTACTACTACTACTACTACTATAACGTTTATGTTTATATTATTATAACTTGTACATTTGCTTAAAACAAGTGTTTTTTTTAATAAAAAAAGAATTTTTTCAGTGTTTTTATTTTATTGATAGCTTTTCATGGACACGTAATGGAACTCACTTTGAAATAGATAAAGATCCACGAATAAGAATGAAGCCTCATTCAGGAACTCTTTTAATAAATATTATTAATGAAGAAAATGGAGGAAAAGCAGAATTATATGAAGGTGTTTATCAGTGTACAGCAAGGAATGTGCTTGGAGCAGCAATTTCCAATAATATTGTTATAAGAGCATCCCGTAAGTTTAATATTAATGAAACTTTAATTTCTTCTCAGTTCTTGCAAATAGTTTTCCCTCTATGTTTGAAATCCTTGCTTTTGTGTAACAGGTTATATCACTCAGCAAAATCAAATTCCTACATAAGAAGGAATATTGTTCTGTTTGTTAACTTGTATTTAAAAATTAAATATAATTTTCATTTTGTCTGATATTTATGCTATATTATAGTATTTTCCTTTCCTGGTTGTTTCTTTTAAGTCTAAGACTAAATGACAGTATTTTTTTCCATGTAGGATCTCCTTTGTGGACTAAAGAAAAGCTAGTTCCAGTAAGAGTTATTGAAGGTCAATATGCAATTCTTCCCTGCAGGCCACCAGTAGGGTTACCACCACCTATAATATTTTGGATGGATAACTGTAAGTTACATTTGAAACCCATATGCAACTACAAAACTATAATTATATTTTCAGTTTTTTTATTTCTGATGATCCATGGATTATAGCAATAAGATGTATGGGAGAGGTTTCTTTTATTATTTTACACATCAGTTGCAATTCAGATTCATTGGGAATTCAATTTGTCGCAGGCTTATAATAACTTGGACTGCAAAATAATTGTTAAGTCCTGATCCTTCAACAAAGGGAAATCTTATATTGTGGGTGTAAGGGTCTGCCTCTACTCTCCGTTCAAGAAAGCAGAACTCTTGAAACAATTAACATTTCAAAAGGAACCCTTTATTGAAAGAAAGGGATTGCAAGACAGAAGAAGCAGGATCTGAGGTTTCCCCATGCAATTCAATTAGGATAAAGCAGTTAGAAACCCCTCCCCTCATTTCGATGTTGAATGAGCCAATCCACAGGTGTGAAGTTGTTTTTAGAATCTCAGACTGAGAAGATGATAAGAAGCTGTTCTCAGGGGTCTCTCCCCCCTTACATTCCCAAGAAGGTAAATCAAAGTACAGGATACATAGACATCAGGAAAAAGGCTATAAATGAAGGAATGCACCCAGGCCCCCTCCCCACCAGAATGGCAATGTCCCAATAGGGATCTATGGGACCTGACATGTTGCCTCCCTAGGAATAGGAGAAATCCACCTGAAAAATAAGCACAAAGAGAAAACAGAGCAGTGAGTTATTTGGGTTTCTCGGGATACTGTAAATGGAACTTTCTCAGTAAGTTGGGGGCTCTAACATGTTTTTTAGCAATCCACTCATTCTGAGAGGGGGGCAGGTGTTTCCAAGTAACTAAGTATTGTGTGGTGTCATGGTGTGTGCGTGAATCCAGGATGTCCTTAATTTCGAAGTGTTGCTCACCCTCAATCATGATAGGAGTAGGTGGAATGTCTACTGGTGATCTCAGTGGGGAGGTAATTTTGGGTTTTAATAGACTGCAATGAAATACTGGGTGGAGGGTTTTGAGCAGACCTGAGGGTTTTAGGGAGCAGTAATTCAACCGTTACGGGGTTGATGATTTGAGTGATAGGAAAGGGTCCTATGAACTTTGGTCCCAACTTTTTAGAGAGCTGCAAGGATAGTAGGAATCCAGTGGATAAGTACACCCTATCCCCTACTTTAAATGGCTTGGGCTCCATCCTCTTTTTACCCACTTGTGATTAAAAGCGGCTCTAGCATCGCTTAGAGCTTTTCTTACCACTGGCCAGGTGTTTTGTAGTTGATGTATTCACTCCTTAAGTAAATGAAAGTATGCACCCAGGCCCCCTCCCCACCAGAATGGCAACATCCCAATAGGGATCTATGGGACCTGACAGTGGAAGTATTAAAAAGTGGATAGCTCTACCAGTCATACAAATGAGGGGTCCTGAGCTTGCTTGTTTGCTGCAGATGTTTCATTATCCAAACTAGGAAACATCATTAGTGCTAGTAAGGAATGCTGTTTGTGGCCTGTGTATGTTCTTATGGCTTGCCCTGTCAGTGTGGTGGTGGGGTGATCTGAGAAATTCTTGGTTGGGCTGTTTACTGTTGGCTCTTTGGCAGTTTCTTGATTGGGATATTATTTAGTTGATTTTTGGTCTGATGTTAATCTTGGAGTTAATCTATGCTGATCTGGGTACTAATTGCTGATGGAGAGGTCCTTGGGTCTTTTTGTTCTTTTTTTTGGGCTGGGTAATAGTCTCTTTTGCATAGTCTATAGATCAGGGACCTGCAGCCTTAAACACTCAAAGAGCCATTTGGATCCGTTTCCCACAGAAAAGAAAACACTTGTAGCCACAAAACCTGGGTGGACGTGGCCAACCCGACATCACTCACTCCCACCCAGTCACATGACACCTCCCAGCTATACCTACCCAGGTTTTGTGGCTCCCGGTCTTTTCTGTGTGAAACAGGTATCTCTCTCTCTCTCTCTCTGTGCCTCTCTCTGTGTATGTCTCTCTGTCTCTGTCTCTTTCTCTCTCTCTCTATCCCTCTCTTTCTCTCTCTCTCTCTCTCTCTCTCTCTCTCTCTCTCTCTCTCTCTCTCTCTCTCATGTGTGTGTGTGTGTGTGTGTGTGTGTGTGTGTGTGTGTTCCCTCTTGAACCATTTCCAAGAACAGGCAAGGGTTGGGTTTTTTCTTTTTTTTCTTTTTTTTTCTTTTTTTTAATTTGATTTATATGCCGCCCTTCTCCGAAGACTCAGGGCGGCTTACAATGTGCTCAGCAATAGCCTTCATCCTTTTGTATATTTATACAAAGTCAGCTTATTGCCCCCACAACTGGGTCCTCAATTTACCTACCTTAGAAAGGATGGAAGGCTGAGTCAACCTTGAGCATTGGCGAGATTCGAACCCTGCAGTAATTGCAGGCAGCTGGTCTTAATAACCAGCTTAATAACAGGGTGCCTTAAACCCCTGTACTACCAAGGCTCTTTTTTTGTTGATGTTGTTCTTTCTTCTTCTTTGGGTGCTTTTTACCATATGATCCAAATCAAGAGTCATTTCAGGTTCCCAGATAAATGAATCTCTTTCGCCCCCCTGCTTTAACTCCCTGTTGGCTGAACCCACGACTGGCTGGCCCCGCCTCTCGCCCTCCCCTTCCAGTCACTTTAGCACAATTTAGCACACTTCACAATGGGGGAGACGGCATCGCCTCTTCCTCCTGGAGCCCAGTACGATGCAGAGCATCATTGCAGGCAGTGTCTCAGTGTGGAGGGCAAGTCACGTGTCTCCCCGAGCAACCCAGGTGCATGCAGCACCAACAAGGACCAGAAGAAGCACCCACGAGATGAGGCAAGTACAGGGGCGCTTCGCTCAGACTCTGGAATATGGAGCGAGGGGTGGGGCCAGCCAGTGGTGTGACAAGTAGCCAAAGCAAGCGGACAAAAGAGCCACATGCAGCTCCGGAGCTGTGGGTTGCCAACACCCGGTATAGATGTTATTAATGTCTATGTATCTATTGATGGCTGATTTGTCAGAGTGCCAGGCTTCCTAAGAATTCCCTGACATTTTTGGACTTGGCTTGGTCTAGAATAGTCACATTTTCCCAATTGAAACTATGGTTAAATCTGTCTACATGTTGTAAAATTAAAGAATTTTCATCTTGTCTTCTGACTGCTAGTTGATGTTTGTGGATGCATTCTGCCAGTCTTCTGACTATTTGTCCTACATAGTGGTTGTTGGAGTCCTTACATTGTATGTTGTAGAATAAATGATACCTGTTTTTTCTTCAGGGGTTGTTGGGTCTTTTGGTGTGCTTAGGTCAGGATGTTTTGAAGGGCTTTAGTTGGCTTGTCTGCTATGCTGATTCCATGTGGTTGTAGGAGTCGATTGGGGATTTCTGAGATATTCTTGATGTATGGCAGTGTAATTCTTTTTATAATTTGTTTTGGTTGTGCTGTATTGGGTTGAGTGATCAGGGACTTGTTGATAAAGTTGTGTGGGTATTAATTTTGTTGGAATATGTTGTATAGATACTGTCTTTCCTTTTTCTGCTGTTCCGTGTTGCTGCAATGTGTTTGGGATCATTTAAATAAAGTCCTTAGGTAGCTTCTCTTGTGGGAGGTTGGGTTGTTGTTTTGGTAGTGGAGCACTGGTTAGTATGGGTGGTTTTTCTGTAGACTTGCATTTCTAGTTTGCCATTGTGACCTCTGCTGATCAGGATATCCAGGAAGGGTAGCAAGTTCTTGTATTCTTTTTCTCTAGTAAACTGGATTCCTTTAAAAATGTTGTTGATGGTTCTGTGGGTGTTCTCTAATTGGTCTTTTTTTATTATAGTGAAGGTGTCATCTACATATCTGATCCATATTTATGGTTTTATTTGTGGAGGTGCTATGGCTTCTTGACATTGCATGATGACCCCCGCTATAAGTTCTAAAAGCGGTGATCCCATAGGTGTCCCTTTAATTTATTGGTAAATTTGTCCATCAAATTGGAAATACATAGTTAAGCAGAAGTTTATGAGATCCTGGGTGTTTCAATCTTCGTGTATTTGGTTAAGTCAGATGTGCTGTGGAACAATGCTGTCATGGATTCTTTGGCTAATTCTGGATCTTTAGACATGAACAGGGCTGTGACATCAAATGAGACCATGATTTCATCCTCATTTATAGTCACATCCCTGATTGTTTGAAGACACTGTGGTGGAGAGTTAACGGAACATTTGCTTCCTCTTGTAAGGTGCCCAAGCTTTTTTGTTAATTCTTTGCAATGTTGTATGTAGTGGTCCCTGGTAGTGATATGATTGGATGGAGGGGTATTGTTGTGGCCCGCCAGCGGCCTGCACGGATTGTGGCTGATCCCAACAAAGAGGAGGCTGGTGTGATGTCGCGCCAGCAGCCTGTGCAGCCGGTGCTCGAGTCGGACAGCGAGGAGGCTAAAGAGGATGTGGTGCCAGAGGCAGAGACTCAGTCAGGGCCTTCAGAACCTCCAGAGGCTCCTTCAAGTGAAGAGAGTGAAGTGGAGGAGCCTCTTCTCAATGCTCGAGCACGCAGGGCTGCCAAAAGGCAGGAGTGGCTACTCAGGAGGAGGTCTCCTCGAGAGTAAAGTTTGGGGCTAATTGGCCACTCCCTTAGCCTATTTAAGTTTGCTCACAGATAGCAAACGCTGCTGGAAACAACGTTTAATTACTATGCAGAGCATTTTGAGAGTGAGTTTCTTGTTACATCGTGGTTTCTGGGATGGTTGCCAACCCTTGTCAGACTTTGTTTATTCTCTGTAATTCATGGCAGGCTGATAAGGATATTTGCACTGAAAGCCTGCATTTTGAAAGGGGTCTCTTTGTATTAAACAGAGTTTTTGGAGCTTTCTATGTGTCACACTCCTTGGGATCCGGAGCTGGGGCAGAACAGGTATGTGTATTTTGGGGCATCTGTAGAAGATTGGGAGAATGGGTCCACTGCTTCTCATCCACCACTGTTCCTCTTTCATAATTTGGCCTTTCTTAGTGAGGTCACTGAGGGTTCTCTTGATGTGGTTGTTTAGTTTT